AGCAGAGGGTTTGGGGGGGGCACAAACCCCCCTGGTGCATGGGGATGTTTTAAGGAGCATCAGTGTTTTACCCTTGGGATGCCACCCGGGGATGCGCTGCTTTGCCGTCAGGCTGGGAACTGGGGTACAAAGCAATGCGGGGTTGTGCAGGGAAGACTCCAGCAGTGTTTTGCATCCCCAGAGAAGATTCTGGCAGGGTTTCGCATCCCCCAACGCCTTCCCCAGAGCACAGGGAGGTGTCAGTGGCCAGCCCCATGTCCCTGCACTCCCTTCACATGCATTTATAACCGCTTGCAAGAGCTGGGCATCACAAGGAGCCAACTGGGGAAAAAGACGACGTTTGCAGCTTTCCCTCCCTCCAAACCCTCCTGAAAGGGAGCAAACTCATAGAAACAGGTTGCAAAGTGAAAAATAGAAGTTTTTATTGTGCATGGAGCAAAGAGAGAGCCGGTGTCCTCCATCACGAGCAGCTGAGATCCTTGTGCTCCTCCATACCCATCCTGGGGGTCAGACACATCCTGTGGTCCAGCACAGCCCCTCCAGTGAGCCTTTGCTCCCACCTCATCCCATGGAAGATGCCCCCCAGGAGGGGGTTTTGCTGCTGGCTGCCCTCCCCAGAGCCCTGGCCACACTGCCCGTCCTTGACCCTGCATCTGCCAGCCCATAATTCCTAAAAAGCAGCTGAATCACTAATTATAACCAAGCTGCCTTTCCTGTGGGGTGCCAGCAATGACCTAACACCACCCTTTTAGGGCATTCCCCCCCCCAGGGTGCATCATCTCCCCTCCCATGGGGCAGGGAGGGACCATGGTGGCTGCGTGCCGGCAAGGATGCACAGGCATCTCGGGCTGATTTTTAAAGAATGGTTTATTTGCTCGCAAACAGATGATCACATCCCTTTGCCCTTAGATTTAAAAAAACCCCAAAAAACCAAAATACCCAGTGTGTACAAAGTCACAGTCATGGCTTGAAGAGCACAAGGCAGTGCCCTCGGAGAGAAAAAAAAACCACCAAAAAATAAAAATCAATTCAAAGTCCCGGCGTTATGTACAGCTAAGTGCCAGCTGGAATATTCACAACACAGTAACGTACTGCAATTAATTGCTTAAAAAAAAAGTAGTTCCCTTGAGAAACAGCCTTCTGCTCCGACGCGGCCGGAGTCCGTCCCGTGTCCCATGTCCCATCAGTGGGTCCGTGATGCTCAGTGCCGCTGGCAGGTGTGCAGGCGGGAGGCGTCAGCGGGTCCCTGCTCTCGCTGGAGGCGGCACACCAGCCCCTCGGCGCACTGGCAGCGCTGGAAGATTTCCAGCCCGTGGGAACCTTTCCGACGGTGCCGGGTACACACCTGCCCTTCCCGCAGCACCGGCTTGCAGATCTTGGACCAGAAATGACGGGCGCAGCACAGTCCGGCCGCACAGTCCGACGAGCGCAGGCAGAAGTCACCTTCCTCACCTGTGTGGGGACAGCGCGGGGGGCACTCAGCACAGGATGCTCCCATGGGGACAGTGGGGCAGGGTGGGCAGCCTGGACTGACCCCTTAGGGGACAGACAGGCAGGGTGGGCATCCCGGAATG